TGAATGAGTTTCTCTAGAGAAATAACGTAAAAAACAAAGTCTGGAAGTGAATAATCCAACCCTAGGATCGAAATCTGCTCTAAAAATCCCGTCCTCGAAATTTGCGCCGGTTAAGTCGCGACTCGCGACCTAAGTCGCGAGATAGTCTTCTTTTCGGTCGCGAGTCGCGACATCCTCGCGATTCGCGCGTCTTCAAAATGTTAAACTTCTGGGGCTGGTCGCGACATAACTCGCGAGTCGCGACTCCATCTCGCGAGTCGCGACTTCGTCTCGAAACTGCACCTTTAGCCCCAGTTTTTCCCGCGGGTCGCGAGAATTTCTGGGCGCGTGTTTCTGTCAGCTTTTCAGTCCTCTTCGTCGTCTTCTGGGCTCGGCCACAGGAATTCTCGATATCGCGGTCTCGGCTCACGCAATCCTAACCTCGACCGGCACCTACCTCCTGAAAACAAAAACACGGAAAAACACGAAGCAAAAAACGGCAAAAAGATACAAAAATATAAACTAAAGACAAAAGCACAAAAAAAAGAAATGGACCAAATAAGCTACGAAAAACCTACAAATGGAGGAAAACAAAAAGAAAATAAACACGAAATAAAGACACAAAAATGGGACAAACAACGTGTATCTATACTCAGAACGTATAATTTTTCTACTTAATTTAATTTAATCTGAATTAAATATTTAGTCATAAAAAAATAATTCAAGATCGAGTTAAACCCAATTTTGTATAACTGATTTTATAACAAACAACACAAATTACAAAGCCTAACAACTGGCCACACGTCTACACACGAAATAAATAAATAAATAAATAAATAAATAAATAAATATATATATATATATATATAAAATAAGAAAAACTCTCCCCGCCACCGCAAACCTTCACTAACGCTAGCATCATCTAAGCCAGCAAATCGAAGATGGTCCACAAAGAATAACCCGACCTCGACTCAAGAATACTAATCCTGAAACTCCACACTTCGAGTTGGCTATGGCTAGCTAGATTTGAAACCCTGGAACCTGATCAAATCTTCAATGGAAGTGACCAACGTCGAATAGCACTCGGCGGCTGGAAACCACCATCTCCTCGCCCCAAGACACAAGAAACGATGGTCGACCCGCCCACAAGGGGAGAAATCCCAACAAAGATCTAAATCAACCTGCCACAGGATAAGCACGGAGGGGAGGGGGGAAGAGGGAGTCGGCCCCAACACTAGCTGCCCCGAGGTTGAAGAGGGAAACTGCTGTGTCGAGGAGGCCGAAAATAATTTTGGTTTGTGGCTCTGATTGGGCAGATTTTTAGAGTGACAGGGAGAGTTAGCTTCTATAAAATAAGTCACTCTCTCGAAACAACATTATTTGGTTGAGATTTTCAATCAGAATGCGAACTGGGATCAAAACGGTAATTGGAACAAAAAGTAATTGTTTTGGTTCCAAAAGTTAAGTTTATGATATATCATACTTCCTCCTTTGAAAAAAAACTTACGTTTTATTGTTCAACTAGTACAATATCTGTGTATTACACGGGTATTTAGATATATTAATATTTGTACAATAAAAATTAAAATAATTTATATTTTATTTTGAAATTATGTATGATGAATATAAAACAATAATGAATAACTAACAAAGTGATAACTAATTTAAATGGTGCTCGTATTTTTACACTAAATTTTCTAAAAAAAGATATTTTAATTATATTTTTAAAATTATATATGTATAAAATGGATATTATTTACAACTCATTTTTTAAGCAAAAAAAGTTTTATTGTATTGTGACCATATTTTATATTTATAGAGTCAGTGTCTCACGTTTATTAAATTTTCAAGTATTTTAAATTCATATCATTAATGATTTATAATTTATGTAAGAAATGTATTATTTTTAACTTTAAGATATAAAAAATAATTTTACTATATTTAATTATGATATTATTTTATATTTACCACTTTAAATAACATAATAACATTCCTTTTTTTTATACAATCTATTTAAATTGAGAAATAATATTTTATAATATTTCTTAAAATTTAATTTATGTAATACTTGATTTTCTTTTTTTATCCAAAATTCATGGAAAAAACAATAAAATGATTATTTTATGGTGTATTAAAGAATCAAATTTTTATTATTTTTATAAAATAATTTATATTGTTATTTAATGTTTTTAAATTGAGTTGATAATAAAAATAATTTTATTTATAAATATAGATGAAATTATTTTTTATTTTATATATGCAATATGAATGTCAAATCGAACATCGTTAAATTATGATTATTTTGGTAGATCATATGTAAAAAATAAAATACTAATAAAAAAATTATAAAGTTTTAAAAATAAAAAGAGTACATATTTATAATAGTTAATATATGAATTAAATAAAAAATGTATGAGTAGTTTATGGTAATTTAAGAAGAAATGAAGCTAAAATAGTTTATGGTAATTCTCAACCTAATAATCAAAACCTGTGTAAATACCAATCATCAATTTATGTCAAATAAGCAAACGAAGCACACGAGCCTGCCTTTTAAGTTCAACACAGTCGAAAATTATATATATGTCAATTAAAATAAAATTAAAAAAAAAAAGATTTTAAGAACAAACACGCCGTGATCGCAAGTATACTTAGGGATGTTCATCGGTCGGTTCGGTCGACCGACCAAACCGAAGTACCAAAATTGAACTGACCGAATTGCTCTATGTTAAAAATTGAACCGACCGACCGATTTGCTTAAAACTGAAATATAACTGAACCGAACTATTTGGTCAGTTCGGTCTGTTAACCGAACTTTTACAAAAAACATTTTTTTAGGGAAAGAGTTTCAGTAGAAAGAAAGTGAAAGGAAGAAAAATAAACATCTCACAAACATACATGATTTTTCACTACAAATCTGCAATTAGAAAATAAAACAAAAAATATACTTACAGCACTCTTTTACATCAGATCCACTTAATATAAAGAGATTGTTAAAGACAATTCAATGGGAACAGCAAAAAATGTCCACCATAAGAGCATCTCCAACGGTGCTTAAATTGCAGAATTCTAGAGGCAGTGCTAGAAAAAACTTCTCCAATGGTGAATTATTTGCTTCTATTTTTGATTATGTGGCATGAGAGAGGTTTAAAAAATTCTGGAACTCTTTACACATCTCAAAGCTCTGTTAGACATGCTGAGTCACTATTTTTGTTCCTATTTATTTTTTATTTTTAATTAAAAATTATAATTAAGTTGGAAAGAGACGTAACTGGATGGGAAATTTTTTGCAGGAACTGTTGGGCGCGAACCAGAGGAATTCGGGAGAGGAAAAAAATTTATACATTTCTAAAATTATATTATAAATTTAATGGTATACAAAAAAAATATCAATGAATGTAAAATACCTTATGAATATAAACGATGGAGATGTTCTTAAAAAATACGAATGAATGTAATACCTGATGAATATCAACGATGGAGAAGTTCTTACAAAAAAAAATAAAAACAAATAAATACAGATGAATGTGCAGATGGGATAGCGAATTCAAAATGAAGGCATACTTTCTCTATATTCTATCTCAAGCTATGAATTAAATTGACGAAGGATCACTCTGAAACTATGAATTAAATTGACGAAGAGTGCAATTTATATATATGTTGTTGAAAATATTTATGATTTCATGTTGTTGAGTTAGTTCGACGCAAGTTTTTTGCCAATTTTTTGTAACAGCAAAAGGAAGAAGTCTGTGTATCCATTTTTTACAACGGCAAAAGGAAGAAGTTTGTGTATTAAAAATACGTGTATAAATATTTACTATGTACAGATTTTAACCATTAGAGAGTGATTTAGTTCATCTCATCCACGTGGAGAGAAAGCTTTCTATTTAATTGCCTTGTAGCCTACAATTCACGCCCATCATTGGAGATGCTCTAAGCAACCAGAAAGAGTTCTCTACACAAGCCAGCATAACAAGAAACAAGAAATGAAGTTAATAAAATATGATACCTTAAAAATAAAACTGAGATTTTGGGAGGGAGAGAAAAAATCGGGGAGACTTTCGCCCTTGACGGTGAACAAGTGCAACTGTGTGCCCGGCGAGTCGACGACCGGTGACCACGAGCTCCTTGACCGGACCGAAGACCGAACTACACGCAGACGCAAAAATGAGGGGACGATTGTTTGTTGAGCGGACGATTCGGGGGATGGTTTGGATTGGGGCGATTTAGGGTGGAGTGCGAAGGAGCAGTGGCTAGAGGTGTAGGGACGGAGGATTTGGGGACGGCGACGGAGGATTTGGGGAAGGAATCCCGTTTCTGAAACGCGAAGAAGGAGATAGGAGTTATTAGAGCTGTCAATTTGGCTCGCGGCCCGCGGGCTGGCCCGTCCCACCCCGCCAAAGGGGCGGTTTGGG